CTAATGGCTGGTTGATCCCTGAGATTCTACAAGGGGGAATTTTTTTCTGTGGCTGATGGCCTTTTTTCCAGTTATAAAGTAGTAGTGCTAGAGCATAACATAAGCCAGAAATCAGTATGATTACACTTATGAGATCTCTTCTTGGGGCCGATTCTGATGGAGGAGGAAATGAAAGAAAGGCAGCACATATACCATGGAGGAGAAGGGTGCACAGCGGGGTCCAGAAGCCTGTTGTGTTCTTTACTAATGCCTCACTTTTATAATCAGTGTCTTCCTAAAAGCTGGGTCAACTTTCTTTAGTTTAATTACATTTTACATGCATGAGGAAAGGGGGCTATGTAAAGCAGTTTTCTGAAAATCAGAGCAACTCTTATGCAAAGTTTTCACTTTAGGCCTGGGTTCTCCTAAAGCCAAAGCACACCGGTATCTTCAACGGTAATGCTTCTGGTGAAATATTAATACTTCAAAAAAGGAACTGAACTTAAAAGGAATTGGGCAGGAAGAAACAGACAACAGGATCTAACTTGCCTTTGCCAAATTCTAAGCAAATCAGAGCAGATTCATAATTCGACCTCTGACCAGAGCACAAATTCTAGTGCCAACTCGCCTACAAGTTTGTGCCTGCCCACCCTCACTCGAACTGGGGAACATTTTAAGGTTAAATTGTCCTAGAAACAATCCTCATTTAATATGAAACAGCACAAGAAAGCAATGAGAGGCCAAGCCCCATGTGTAAGGAGAGGGCATGTGCTATCCAGGCAGATGACAAAACACATTGACTTCTTAAGAGATGAAGATGAGGACTAGCTTTGTGAAAATATACAACATAAAGGCCTTTTACAATTGAAAAAGAAAAAAAAGAGCAGAAGATTTCTACGGCAGAGATGAGCACCATGGTGCATCCTTTCCTCACGGAGGACTGCAGGCCTTTCGGGGCTGACCAGTGACAGGAGAGATTAAAAGCCTTCTCCTTTGTTATCTCCTCCACACCCGTCATGCCAGCCGGGCACGTCTGGCCTCCAGGAAAGGAACCATTCTAGACAAAGGACGGGCTCAGGGTTCCAAGGGATGACTGAGATGCCAAAGGGCTCAGGCTGTCTTTGGAACATTGGCTCATTCTCCCAGATGACCTGCTGAGGCTGCCATATGGCTGGCACATGACATTCTGTTCAGGATAATAGGGCCTGGGTCCCTGCCTGCTTCTGCCCTCTGGGCTGGGATGACAGAAGTAGAGCATGTCTGCTCTGAATCCACTGACTTGTCTGATGCCACTGCTGAGGAGCCATCGCTTTCAATATTCTCCATGGTGCCTTTTCCAGATTTTCAAGTATGAACGACACCAAGGCAAGGAAGGACTAAGGACGGGCTGATGCAACTATTGCTGGGAGAGAATAAGCAGATGAATGAAGGGACCTCTGGCCCAAGAGTAGTGAAGCCAGCGCAGAACCCAGATGTCATAAGTCCAGTGATCGATGTTTATCACCACTGCCAACAACAGAAATTCACTCTATATTAAGGAGTTTGTGTCTTCCTGTTTTATAGTCTGCAAACCACCTCATCAGAGGTTCCCAGATGATGCCATCATTCTGAACAGTTGTTGAAGGGTATACAGAAGGGTTAAACTCTAATAACCCAGAGGAAGAAAAATGGTCTTAAGTTTTAAAAGCTGAGATTTCTTGGCTCAAGTCTTGTGAATTTTCAGTTGCCAAAAATATGGCCATTGTATCTGCCCTCTGTATTTGAAAACACAGTAACAGTTGCTTGTCTATGGCAAATGTAGAGAATGATTCCTAATTGTTCAGAAGGATTTAAAGCATTACCATTATCTACACTCCATTAGAAAACTCAGCTGCACTCATTTTTAAAAATGGACTTCCTGGGCAAAGAGTACAGGGGACTGTGTACAATTGTTGAAACTTCCTGTAAACATACATTTATTTCAAAATAAATTTTGAAAAAGTGTGGTCCTATTGATGGAAATGAGGTCTCTGGTGAATTCTGTTCAGCCCAATAGCCCTGCACTAAAAATGAAGCTGTAATCAGGAGTGAGAACAATCAATACCCAAGATTTTATGGCCAGTAAAAGCTCTGCCAAGGGCCCAGCCTGGGCCTGAGTGTCACTTCACCTGTGACTCACCGGCAGACCTCTGTCTGGGCTCTGTATCTGGTATCTTTGAGCTTTTCAAATCTTTGTGTCCACAGAGGCAAAATGGGAGTTTACGTAAATTGGTGGCAACTGCCGATTTTTACTCAATTGGCTCAATACACAGAGGGTGTCCACAAAGCTGGGCCCTTCCTCTTTTGAGGGGTGGAGCCTGACTGAAGGACCAGGGTGGCAAACCGGGGTTCTGGAGCCAGATGCCACTTAACTAGACGTCTGTCCTGGTGATCTGCTCTAGACCCCAGCTTCCCTGGTAGGCAGGGTCAGCGCTAACAGCTCTCTCATAGAGCTGCTCGCACGTGTTATGCAATCGGGCAAGTACCAGAAAGTCTGGGCAAGGTGAAGGGCACAACCCTGAGGATGTGTGATTCCAGTGCTATTGCTGGAGATAATGATGCTCCGAACATTTTATTACCCTTTCCTACATTTATTCTTGTTTCCCTTTGTGAATTGCCTCAAGGGGTGCTAAGCTTTCCCTGGGCATCAAACACATCTGGAGATAATAGGGAGTTCAGAAATCTAGATTCTACTTTTGACTCTAAGCCTCTAAGCTTCAAGAAGCCAATGGAAAGCCAGGCTCTCTCCTCCAGCTTCAGTTTCCTCAACTATAAAGTGAGAGAGGCAGGACTAGACCCTCCTGATCCCTCAGCACCCCCTGAGTCAACAGATTTTATAATTCCGAGTTTGATGCCTCTGGGAAAAGCCTTTTTATCAAAAGTAAAATGATTCTCCACTCAAACTACTAAATTTTTCCTATCGCATTTGCATCGCCTAGGATACAAAGTGCAGGTGCTCCCTCTGCACCCAGACAGCATGGCGAATGCTGCCTCTGATCTGTGAGTCAAACCACAAGCGCGTTTTGAGTACAAACTGGCTGATGGCATTGCACACAGAATGAGTCTCCACTGACACTTATGAATGTGGGTCTGGCACTCTGATGGGGTCCCAGATGGATGGCAGGGGTGCATTTTCTCCCTCACAATTAGGTGGCTTTGGGAAATACTGCCTGGAAGTGGACTGCAGCCTCTAGCTTCCCTGGACCCAGCGGTCAGGAGGTACAGGCCCTTCTACAGGTCAGCAGATCCTTCCAATTTCTTCTTTACATTTTGTGATATGCTTAAGGGAAGCTCATGTCACACACACCAGGACCTCGAGGTTTCCCAACTTCTTTTACAACACCATGTGTACTTCATGGATGATGGAGGTAGTTCTTTAACTTCTTCTGTGTGTGAGAGTGGGCCCCCAGCTCTCAGTGATACTTGTCACTGACAAGGGCTTGAGCAGTGAGCTTTTTGCTTTCAGAGTATCTTATGCTTTTCCAAGCAAATACGCCTTATCTGTTTTGGTCCTTAAAGTTTAAAGGCAGCAATGATTACCTCCACTGAACTTCATGCCAGCTTCACGAGGACAGAAGTTACATCTGTTCTGTTCTCTGCTTTATCTTTATAACCCACTATGGTGCCTGGTACCCAATACCCATTTGGAGAATGTTTGCTGAGTTAGTGAATGGATCTCTGCTATATGGTCAAGTTAAAGAACTGCTTACGGTTAGGCTGTTAATGAGAGGCTACTGGAGCACCTGTCCCCAAGTCCCCTGCTCTTTCTACCACCTTAGTGGCTATTTGAAGAGAGGTTCAAGATGGACTTGTGTAGACAAAACTAAGAATGAGGGTCTACCGTGACATTCAGCAGTGACCTTACAAACACGAAGTCCAAGAGGGGCCAGAGGACGGCATTTGGATGACGCCTCTCTCAGCACCCGGCACTCTGGGTGTATGGATTCACCCAATTCAGAAACCAGACCTGCCTCTCCCTCCCTCTGCCTTGGCATGCACTGCGCACACCACCTGGAATGTCCTTCTTGCCCTTCCCTCTCCAGTTACATGGCCAATTCCTCATCGGAGATCACTTCTCACCAGGATTTCCCTCTTCTCTCTCCTCTGCCACCCAAATCTGGGCTCACCGTTACCATACACAGTACCTAGCACACAATGTTGTATTTCCTCATTTTCGCAGCTCCCTCTCCCCTCTGCCAGCCCCACACTGTGGGTTCTTTTAGTGCAAGGATTGTATCTTTCCTGTCCATAAATAAGTTCCTAAAAAAGTGGTTGGTACAGAGGTTTTTAATAGTTGTTGCTGAATGACCTGTTGTGCGCAACACTCTATTGATCAAGAGATACAAGGTGACAAAGCTCCAATGAGCCCTTTCCCCATGGCTGGTGAGCTGCTGGTGACAGGGCAGCAGTCACCGGTGATGAACACACACACCCCAACATGACATTCGCTGCCCTGTGTCTGCAAGGTACTGTCTCGTACAGCTGCTGATCTGAGCACAGCAAGACGGGCTTCCGTGGATTTTCAATGGCGGGGATGGACATACAAGGACGGGCAATGCTCCAGCGATATACTCTGGCCCATTTCCTACAATGACCAGTGCCTCTGACCAGGGTTCCAAATTCTATCCCAGCCACAGAAAGCAGTAGAGAAAAAGTGTTGCTTTACACATGCAAACGGGCTGAACATTGTGGAAAAGACTGAGGGAAATTAGCCTAATTATCTTTGGAAGAAAAAGTGTGGTTGGCTTTCCTGTCACCACCTACCCTTATTACAGGCTTGGCAGCTCCTTGGTAAAAAGAAAGGATATATAAAAAAAGGAAGGGGGAGCATTTGGGATCTTCTCTAAAAAGCATACAGGGACAAAGCAGAGTTGCAACCAGAGTAAGCAAGAACTCTACCAGGTCTTGGGAAAAAAGACAGGACGGACCTCTGGGTTTCTTCCAGAGCCTTGTGTCTGTGCCAAGCTGGGGAGAAAGGGAGATATGCCTCTTTCATGCTGTGCATGCTGAAGGGCCCAGAGAGCCTTCAGGGCTGGGGGAACTCCGGTTCAAGCAGCCTTTACCACGGCACAAGCCTTGGCCGGTGCGGGTGGGGCTCTGCTTTAGGAGGTGCTCTAATCAAAAGTTCCCAGGCCCTGGGCTCCACCCCTGGTGGGCCGGTGACACCTTCTCTGCATGTGTCTTTCTGTATCATCCACCTGCCCAAGGGAGAGGAGGCCGCTGTGAAGGACCGAGGGGTCCCGCAGCAAGGGCACTCCCTGTATGAGTGGGCTTCTGCGGCCTCGCTCCCTCCCAGGCTGGCCCTGTCGCCTCTGCTGAGGAGGTAAGGGGGCTTCGCTGCTGACTAGCTCACCAAGGTATTTTAAAGGGACAAGTGAGAAAATGTGAGTAAAAATAATCGTAAATCGTAAAGGTGCTATCGGTGTGAAGAAGTATTATTATTACCAGCACTTTATTTAGTCGTTTACATCAGTACAGTACACTGACATAGCTTATGCTTTTGCTCAAATAATTAACATTCCTGTCTCTATGGAGGCAGCTATCCTGCAAGTGGCCAGCCCCATGGGAATTCCTGCCATCTGCTTCTGCTGTTCTCTGGACCTGGAATGCCTTGAGGCCTCTCCAACTGGCGATTCCCTTAGGACCCTCATCAGTCTGAGCCCTCTCCGTCTCTCTCTCTCTCACAACAGCCCATCCATTTCACCCATGGTCTTACCATGGCGGGTGGCACTGGCCACCTACTTGCTTGACTTCCTGGTTAGATTGTAAGTTCCTGAAAGGCAGGAGCTATGCCTTATTAGTGGAAATAAATTCATGGGCCAGCACATGAAATATTTCCATGCCCACTCCCCTGAGGGAGCAAAGTCTGCCTGAGAACATGCTCACTGATTATGAGTGGAGTTACAGTGACATGCACAAGGTGCAGATGACAGTGGTCACAACAAGCCACAGCTGACTGCAAAGGAGGCACTGAAAGTCATCCTGCGAGCATCCCCGAGGAGCTTGGTGCCGTTTTCCCAAGTTTGTAGATAAGGAAATAAAGAGGTAATCTGCCTTCGGTCACAAACCTGAATAGCAAGATTTAAGTCAGTTTGATTCTAATGTCTGTGGTCTTAATCACTACATCAGAAAAAGATCATGCACAAAAAAAATGGAAAGGAGAGGAGAAAGAGGCATTTATAATTTATAAAGAAAGGAATACTGTCATACTTTTGGCTTGATTTTATTATTGTTTTAAGCTCTAAGTAGCACTATTTCCCCACATTCCTTCTTCTAGTCTAATGACCTAGCAAGAGTACTGCAGCAGACAAAGAAGTAAATAAAAGTTCCTATGAAACAGAACAATAATGAGAGGATTTCCAGGCAGGAACTGAGCCAAGATCCTGCCTCCCTCAGTCTTGGATGCTGGTTCCCACCTCTCCCTTCTACCTCCACCTTTGAAGTGGCAAGGGTCTCTTCTCTGCCATCTTTAACCCGACATCAAAGCCTGGAAGTTGCTTCCAGGGATGACAGGACAGGGGCGTAGCAGGGACCCATCCCCACGGTCAGAGCCCCTCCTTGTTCAGGTGCTCTGGTGTGGACACAAAATGAGGGTGGCAGGCCCAACAGGCTCATTTGCTTCAAGTTAAAGAGAGGTTTCTTGGGAATTCTTTCCTTTAAATATCTGGCAGGCCAGGCAGAGTGGATATAAGTGGGAGGCATGTAGGTAGGTAAATCTGCACCTCTGGGAAACCTGTCTACTTTTTAAACATTTCATGTTCAATGACCAATACCATAATAATAAAGAGGAAGTTCTCATCTAAACCCCACCCCAACCCCATAAAATGGCTGAAAAAAGGGGTGTGAGTGTGTGAAGTCCGAAGAACCATCCATGGCCCTTGTCTCCCTGCCCCTGAAAAAAAACACCCTCATATGATCCAGTGAGGAAAAGGCTTTAAAAATATTCTGGCTCCACCACCCATTAACTGTGTGACCTCAGAAAAATGACTTTACCTAGCATTTCTGTAAGATTTCAAAATAATTGGGCTTATCTTAAAGGGTTGTTTTGAGGGTTACAGGCTTACTATACAGAAAACCTTCAAAGCTGCCTGGCAAATAACTGCAGTAAGTGTTAGCTATTAATCTGGGTTAGTGTTGTTGGTATTAGTATTAGCTTCACTATTTTCTCTCTGCTGTTTCCATTGACCTGTGATAATATAAACTTTGGAGATTCCATAGTCTTCTATGTTCCAAGTTCTCTCTTGGAATATTCTTTGTAAGATGGGACAAGGAAACTGGTTCAAATAACTCCTCTTTTCCTGGCACTAATAATAGAAATACGTTAATCATATAATCAGCAACCAGGTAGTGGTCTTATTAATACAGCTGTCAGCACATTAGAAGTTAAGTGTTTAGCAGAATAAATGCAAAACATATACTTAATGTCATTATTCTTCTTGAGATGCATCACACACTCAAGCCCTCCTCTGATATCTATCTTAATAGAAAAAAATCCATGACATAGATGATTAATAGCACTGAGACCTGGCTTCCTAAGGAAGGCTGGGGGGTGGAAGAAACACCACTAGATGCTCAAGTAGTGCGAAAGTCAGCCCATGAGAGACCAGACTGAATTCGTGGTTGTGGAAAAGGCGAGTTAGGTAAATGGAGAACTCACTTCTGGAGCATTCTAGAAAGCAAGGGTGGAGGTTAGTGACACAATACCTCCCAGCCCATGGTGTTACAAGTACCTAGATTTTCACCCTTTCAAAGGGTTAGAAATACTGTATGACAGTTTAAAAACATGGTCCCCAAGTAGTTTTATACTGTTTCCATTTAAAAGTGGGTGTATTCCTTTTGAATATGGGATATGACTGCTTGAATAAGAGAATATGATAGAAGTGATGTGTCAGTTTTGGGGCAGTTTCCATTTTCTGTTTCTTCAGACACTTGTTAAACCAAGCTGCTTGGAGATGACCCACAAGGAGAGGAATGGGGTCCACAGCTCTCAGCCCTAATGGAGCTTCTAGATGACAGGCAACAGCCAGCAGCCCCTGCTGCGAGTGAGCCATCTTAGAACTGCACCCTACAGCTCCCAGCTGAGCCACCCCAGTTTATGCTACATGCAACGGAGATGAGTCTCTGGCTGAGCTGTGCCCAAGTTGTAAATTCATTAGTCAAATAAATGATTGCCTTTATTTTAAGCACTTGGGGGACTGTCTATAACATAGCTTGGATAACTGATATACTTCATGTTTGGGAAGAAACCTTCCTGGATCCTTTCAGGTATTCTATCTGGAAATACTGCTATTTTTTCTCTCTACTCTTAAACCAGTTGAAGACTGAAATTAGCTGTCAGAGCTAGTATTGCACAAGCCAGGGAGCGTTTGGGCAGAATGCAGATTTGTTGTGACAATCCCTCAGCAAGTATTCAGATTGTCTTTCTATGCATCAAGCAGTATAAAACTTGTCCCTAAAATGTCTTGTTCCAGTCTCAAAAAAATCAGGCTTCCTGTTACAAATCATAGAAATGCAAATTATATCAACAAGGTACAATTTATACTGGTCAAATTAGCTGCTTTTTTTTTTAAATGATAAGGTTTAACACTGGTGAAGTTGGAATGAAATCGGTATATTATACATGGCAAAGTAAGCTAGTACAAGCATTTAGGAAACAATTTGGCAGTGTGTAACCACATGCTCCCATCCATGCACATCAACAATTCTAACATTTGACTCAGGAATCTTACTTCCAGTAATTTATCCTCAGCAAATAATCTAAAGTAAGATGGATAAAAAATAATCTTATTAGAGGAAGATGCTTATTGTAGCCTCATTTATCATGGTGAAAAACCTGGAAACAGGTTAAATTTCTAAACATGGAGTAGTTAAAAATAAAAATATAATGCACCAGCCTCATTTAATATTATGTAACCATTAAGATGATAATAATAAGACCAGCAATCCTTAGCTTATGGTGCAATACTAAGTGGGAAGAGAAATCAGAACATAAGATTGTATGTAAGAACTGATTACAATTTTATAAAAACAGAGATACATATAGATAAATATTAAAAGGGAACAGATGAAGACAAAATAAGTCATTTTATATAGTGGTTTATATTAGTTTTTCCCCTTTTTTTAAAAAAACCTCTATTTTATTAATGATTAAAACAGGAAGGATGGAGAGATGATCCATTAAGAAAAATGAAATCATTCTCCATCCCAATTAAGAAGAGCATTTATTTGGTGAAGACAGTTACTGCCTGTCTGTTTACCAGAACCAAGAACTGATACTTGGATCCTATGCAACGTGTTTCTTGAAATATATAACTTACCTTACATGGTAACTTCCTAGAAAATAAGTCTTCTATCATTTTATGTCATAGTTATATTCTGGGTGTTCAGTAAGAGAGAAGTAGGTAATTCAATGAGTACAGTTAGGTTAGCATATTATATTTTTGGCTTTGTTCCTCTCTCCTTCCAACCTCCTACTTTTTCCTTCCTGGGCTTCCAAAACATAGAGTGCAAAAATAAAACCAGCAACGACAGTTCTTATTTTTAGAGTGAACTTCAATCTGATTTTCACAAAGATCCATGCCAATTAAAAATCACTAATGTTCCTCTTGGTGCTAGTAATATAGTGATGGTCTTCTGCATTAAAGATTAAGAGTTGCAGTCACATAGGAGAAAGCAAGCCTGGCTTAGACTTCGCAGTGGGCAAATAAATATACACCAGCAAAAGCACATGGAAAACTATTTGCAATTGTGTATTTGGATATTTAAAGCCAAAACCATTTTTACCCTAGTTGTTCAAATATTGGCATTAAGGTCTCCTTTCTCCACTCTGAAAATATGCAAAGGAAAATGGAGAAGGAAGACCTGGCTCATTCAAATCCTACACTTCTTCTTAGAGTCCCGGGAGTGCAGTGGCGGGAAGCAAGGGTGCTTTCTCTGCCACTCTTCTTGCTCCTAGTTGGTGGTCACCCTAGGGCGCCACAACCCGCAGGAATGGCAATCTAAGCTTTATGTAGGTTTTACTTGAATGTGAGCAAAACATTAAGTACATGTTTCCATAAACTAATTTCTAAGCGGAACTGTTTACATTTTTCCTTAAAGGTAAATGGCTGCTGGAACACTGAATCTATTTCAGAATTTGGTCTCAATGGGCCATTTTCTTAGTCATAAAATAAATACCTTAGCAGTGAAGGATACTTCTGTAATTCTGTCTCTAGTTGTTAGGGCAACAATAAGTCAGACGTAGGTTCTCTCTGTGGCCCTTTTCAAATCAGCCCACTCAAATGCTAGTACAAATGGAAACACCAGCTTGCCAGCCGCTAGGGG